ACATTGCTATTTGGTGTAAGATATGAAGGATGTAGATTATTGTGTACTCCATGAAGATATCTGCCCAGGCTTCATGGCCTTTTATTCTGTGTGCATGAGTCATGGCAGAGTGGGGAGCTTTAGGACTTCACTGCACTCCTTTGTAGACCATAGTTCACCCCCTTTGTCTGTCACAAAAACAGTTTTAATCATGAAGTTGATGCATGCCTTTATACATTGGTCAGAAAGAAAAAGGGAAGGCAAACAAATCCAAAGTCTGGATTTTTTCTCTCTGCWGCTAATACTGCCCTTTGGAAATAAAATATAAGTTAGTTATACTTGCCAACCATTTATTTTTATTTAGATTTTTTGTGGGGGTGTTTTTGGTTGGTTGAGTTTTTTTCAAATTTTGTTGTACTTTGTGGGATTTTTTTTCAGTTTTTATTTTTTTGGTTGGTTGGTTGGTTGGTTTGTTTGATTTTAAAGAGCATTATTCCTGAATTGGAAAATTTCACTAATTTTGGAAAAGTAACCAAGAATGGTTACTTAATACAGACATCCCCTCTTTCTCCTTTGTTAACCCTTAAATATATATATATTACATTCAAGAATGTTTATGTAGCTAAAGCCCTCTCAGGAGTCTTGCATCTCTAGGTGAATGAACCTCCAGTAGGCAAAATTCAATAAGCTAAAATTTCTGTATGGGGTAGACTAAATTAAGTTTGTTCTATATACTCACTGTGTTTTGGGTCATGTTTTGGTTTTTAACTTTYGTATTTTCTTTGCATTTCACTTGTGAATGAAATGCATGATGGTAGTTCTGCACTACATACTGTGAAGGGTACAAAGCATCTCTGAACATTTCCCTTAYATAGCATTAGTTAGGGGCAGGATGAATTCCTCATCGTCACTGAATGGTTTGTATAGGATGGGACCTTAAAGAGTATCACATTCCATATTCCTTGTCAAGGGCAGGAAACCTGTCACTAGACAAAGTTACTCAGAGCCCCATCCAGCCTGGTCTTAAACACTTCCAGGAAYGGGGAACCCACAACTTCTCTGGGCAGCCTATTCCGGTGCCTCACCAYCCTCACAATAAAGAATTTCTTCATAGTATCTTACCTAAACCTACCCTCCTTTAGTTTAGGTCCATTCTCCTTTATCCTATTACTTAATGCTCTTGTGAAAAGTCACTCTCCAGCTCTCTCGTAGGCCCTCTTTAGGTGCTGAAAAGTGCTTTAAGTTCTTCCTGGAGCCTTCTCTTCTCCAGGCTGAGCAGCCCCAACTCTCTCAGCCTATCCTCATAGCAGAGGTGCTCCATCCCTCTGATCATCTTGGTGTCCCTCTTCTAGACTCACTCCAGCAGTTCCAYGTCCTTCCTGTGCTGTGTCCCCAGATCTGGATGCAGTTCCAGGTSGGGTCTCACCAAAACAGAGCAGAGGGGCAGAATCCCCTCCCTCACCCTGCTGCCCACGCTGCTTTGGATGCAGCCCAGGACACGGTTGGATTTCTGGATGCAAGCACAAATTGCTGGGTCATGCTGAGCTTTTCGTCCATAAACACTCCCAAGTCCTTCTCTCCAGGTCTAGTCTTGATCCTTTCTCCAGCCAGTCTTGTACCTGTGATGTAAATTATAACTGGGTATGTTACTGTCGCGCTCAGCTAAAAATAATGTTTCAAATTTGACAGCAATAGCAGCAAAAACTCTTTTGGTTGTTAAGCTTTTATTTAACAATCCYTTTTGGTCTTCAAAGGGTAATGCCTTCTCTCATATAAGAAGTACCAGCCCAAACTTTTGCGCTAAAAGTAGCAATAAATGTAACATTCTACTTTTGAAATGGGAATCCTCAAAGGATGTRTTTGGAGGGACTATTCAGACACAATACAAGAAGCAAATTAATTTTCTTACTGAATAGCAACTTACAGCTTGTATTTGTAACCCATCTAAATAACACTAMTAATTTTTGTTCAGGCAGGTTTGTTACTTATTTCCCTCGTAAACCTAAARGTCTTGAATTATATGAATTATTCATATAGTAGAGATAAGCTTATTTGATGGGATGTTTACRTGAACACTGATGGAATTTGAAGAGGGCTGTTAATTAAGAGGGAGGAAGGGTTGCCTTTCAGCCAGAGTGGCACATGGAATCAATGATTGTTTGCTTATTTGCAGAATTAGAATTTTGGACTGGGGTTTTAATCTATAGTTACTGACATTTAATTCACATCAAACGTGAAACCAGGCAAAACAGGCAAAATTACATTATTTTGCAAGCCTGGGATTTCTGTAGTTGCCTTAAGGACAAAGCATATCCTCACTGCTCAGGTTCTGGGCTGTTGCACTGCAATTGCACTGGAGGAGTGATCCTGTCTTCCTCAGTGCTGTGAAGGATGCCCTGGTGCATCTCACCAGCATCAGGGGAACCCTGACAGCCTTGATGAAAGCTTAGGGGTAGTCTCAGGGTGCACAAGCCGAGAATTATCTCTGTCTCAGTCCCCTGGCAGTCACCATGGGGAAGGTGTGACACAGTTCAGTCACAGYTGAATAGACTTCAGAGTCCAGCAGCTTTGTGTGGTTACACGACCACTTGGTGCTAGTTCGAGTGCTGCGTGCATGGAGCTGAACTGCCTCTTTGATGAAAACAGGGCATGCAAGGCACTGCAAAGACCCTTCTGAGAGGGGGGAAGCCTTAGGAGAATGAGGAGTAGTGTCTATGCCTGATGGGAATTGCTGAAATTAAAAGAGAGCCCWGAAAGGAAGGATTTACTGAAAGGAGGTTGGATAGTAGAAGGATGAGCAGTAGAAGTTTGTATTGTTTCTGAAGAGTCACACAGGATGGGATTTTAAGGTCTTAGCAGGCATGCTGTGGCAATGGGTTATCCAGTGGGGAACGTGTTTGTGGCAGGTGCACTTTCGCACCACTTCCTGGGCACCGTGGCAGAAAGTAGTRATCCCAGAGAAGAGCCTGTGGAATT